CTGGCTAAATTTGCAACACAGAATGTTTGCATTCCAATGCAGATATGACCTTAATCCTTCAGTGAATAGAAACTATAAAAGAATTCTGGAAAACAGGTTGATAGCAAACTTCAGGTAAGTAACAATAAGGAATATGTATTCACATATCAATAACTCTTTACACTTTTAATAGGAGCTAGAGAAGAAGCTCAAAAGAAATGCAAAAAGAAATGAGTAAGTTATGATACTACAAGTACAGTAGGGTAGCAGTGACTGGCCTACATTTTCAAGATATACTAACAATGTGGAACACAGTTTAAGTTGAAAGAGGTTTTTTTCCCCAAGAACTCAACACTGGTATTTGGCAGCTCAATTTTGGTGTATCAGCAGAATCCTACTCTTCTAAAACCAGGAGATCTACTGAATTGCCAAATTACTGTTTTTCATTAATAGTGCATCCATCCTGCATCCAGGAAGCCCCCTCTGAAGCACACAGATATTACGACTCTAAACCCAAACCTCTTTTGCCTCTTTGATTGCAAATACTGACAAACACTCTGACCCACATTGACCCAAGTATGTTGGTTAGCACCATACAGGACTATGGAGCTTGTACCTGAGGCCTACAATTCTGCTTAACTTCTAAAAACTGAAATGTTAAGTGTTTCAGTAAGTTCATCCAATTCCATGCAAGACTTTGTTCAGTCTCTGATATTTTTGTTTAGGTCTGCAGGTCGCATCAGGACTCTGATTTGACCTTATAATCCTTTCAGAATTAGATGATGCTAATAAATAACAAGAGTCCATATTTCTTGGTAATTTGGTGTTATAAGGAGAACAAGATTAATCAATGAAGATCTTTTTGGAACTAAAGCAGCTAAACAGAAAAACATAGGCTGACATCTGGAAAGCTCAAAAACAGAGTTGATATGTCCTGCTTTATGAGTGAGCATGATTGATAAGATTTTCCAAATTCAACTATAAGGCCAAGGTGAGCTATTTTTCACATTGCTTTTAACTCACCCTGAAATGTATAAAGGCAAAGACAATATATGCTACACAGCTGAAATGCTTTAGTTTTTTAAAGGTGAAAGAAAAGTTCAAAGAAGCTTGTCTACACCCACCCCCCTTTATGAAAGAGCAGCTGCTCTATCATCTCAAAGTGTAACTAGTATTACCTGTCCTTGATTTCATGAGGGTCACTCATGGAGCAAACTGTTGAATTAAAGAGAGATTCTGGGAGGGGAGGGGAAGGATTCAGATAGTCAGGGTTCAAGCATGAGTAGGAAACATATTGAGATAAGAACTGTCACTGTTAGTCAATAAACTGAGTATGTTTTAAACAGAATTATATGTAATTGAAAAAAATGTATTGTACCTGGGACCAGAACCTGAACTAGAAGAGTCATAATTTAGTTGAAATAGAATCTGATCCTTTTAAAGATAGCTAATTTGTATTGGGGGGGGTGGGCAGGTGGGGTGACACTTGTAATCTGTTTATTGATAAAATGAATTCCTACACAAACCCTAGACTAAATTTAGTTTGAAAAGCCTCTCTTTTCTTATTTCTCGGCTAAGGTGGAGAATTTAATAGTTTAAACTATTAAAAGACTTTTTACTTTAGTCGTGAAAGTATAAATTTCTTGGTTAACAGATAAAAACTACTATGAAAAATAACATATGAAGTGTATTTTATTTTAAAGAATTTATTTTATATTTCTAGTTTCACTATGTGACCTTTCTCCATTTCTTTTTTTTTTTTTTTTTAAAGATTTTATTTATTTATTTGACAGAGAGAGACACAGCGAGAGAGGGAACACAAGCAGGGGGAGTGGGAGAGGGAGAAGCAGGGTTCCCACCGAGCAGGAAGCCCGATGTGGGGCTCGATCCCAGGACCCTGAGATCATGACCTGAGCCGAAGGCAGACGCTTAATGGCTGAGCCACCCAGGCGCCCCAGACTTTTCTCCATTTCTTATTCAAAAGCACGTAATAAGATATTCTGGGACTATTCTTAGATAAAGGACTTCTCATAAATCCTTCCAACTATATAAGGCAGCATTAGAGGGCCTGAAAGATTGTAATCTTCCTGAAATTTCCCTACCAGGGAGGTAGGAAGGGGAAAAAAAAGGAATATACTGTCTAACATTGGGGCAGGATAGAATGGTAAAGAAGGTCATACTTTCAAAATATATGTATTTTTAAAATTCATTACTCTAAGACAGTTTCTTTTGGTTTTATTAGAAAACTCAAGTGGTTTAAAAACACTATGGAAAAGACAATGGAGGATTTTTCTATTATTAGTGAAGTTGGGTCTGAAATAGAATGACTATACTGTCTTTAGAACTTTGTAGCAGGAGGGGAAGAATGAAGGGGGGTAAATCGGAGGGGGAGACAAACCATGAGAGATGATGGGACTCTGAAAAACAAACTGAGGGTTCTAGAGGGGAGGGGGTGGGAGGAGGGGTTAGCCTGGTGATGGGTATTAAAGAGGGCACGTTCTGCATGGAGTACTGGGTGTTATGCACAAACAATGAATCATGGAACACTACATCAAAAACTAATGATGTAATGTATGGTGATTAACATAACAATAAAAATTTAAAAAATACAAAAAACACCTTTGACACTTTAAAAAAATGTTTGATTTAGTTGTGTTTGTCAATATTCTTGATTGACTAATCTTAACTTTTTATGAATCTGGGAACTTTCTATGCTAAGACCAAAGGGTCTGTGACACTCAAGATTTTTTTTTCCCCCAGAAGGGTTCCTTGTAAAGGCACAGAGAGAAGAGGCAGTTTGGTTTTTGGTCCCAAAAGGCAAGAAGATGAAAAAGAATGAGAAGCCAGCAATGTAAATTGAAGTAAAGGGCCGTTTTCTTAAAGTAGAGTCTTGTTAAGTGTTTTAGTAGACCTTCAGTGCTCAGAAAGAATTCCTTTAAGTCTGATTATTAATTCATTTTATATGGAAACTTGTCCTTTTATATCTCAGAATCCCTGAAACAGTAGTTCTCAAGTGGCAAGCTCCATCAGAATTACCTGGGGATCTCTTAAAAACTAAACAAAACCAGCGCTCTAGGCACAGTAATCAAGTTTATTAGATTCCTTAAAAGAGAAAGTAATCAGCAAGACTTTGGTGAAAGATATCCCAAGACGGTGTGTGTAGGGGAAGGATTCTTTGAGGCAGGGTGCTTTTGTGTGTGCCCGTGCAGGATTCATTCCAGGAAAATAGCACACGGAGGGATAAGAAACAGAGTATATTATAATGCTCCACTGAACATTCCATGTATAAAACAGGTCTTGTTATAAAGATGATTTTCTTAGGATGGATTCTCAGAAGTTTGGTAACTGAGACAAAAGGCTTGATCTTAAATTTTGAGCTTGTTAAATATTGCTGCACTTGCTATACCATCAGCAAATACGAAAGTACTATTTTATTTTATCCTTTACTCTTTTCTGGCACTGCACTCATTTTACTCAACTCTGCCAATTCAGTAATAGTTTCAAAATACTAAATCTGTAATTACTGCAAACTTTTTGGCCTACACTTTTAATTAATTGTATTTATTATGTTAAGCAATTTTCATAAATGGTCTTCGTTTTTAATAAGCTGTAATTGTTTTTCACATTTTTAAACCTTATGTTGACCGTGCTTTGAGGTATTTCTAAAAGGTTTTCTGAAAGGTTTAAATTTTCATATAACTATTTAATTTCTTGTGATTCCTTTTAACTTCAGAAATTCTTCCTTCCTCTGAGTTGATACTCAGCTTAAAAAAAAAACAAAAAACATTTTTCTCTTGTTGTCTTAAAAAAACACTTAACTCAACCCACAGGAAATATTTTACATATGAAGTAAAAATGTAAATTTTTCTTTCCCAAAATGATTACCAACTTCCTAGCAGGATTACTTACTAAATAAATAATTTTTCTCCTCATTGGTTTTGTGACATCCAATTTACTATATATTCAGATCTTATATATAAATTTATTTTTTCATAGCTCTTACAAGTTTTGTCATTTTTTCTTCCAGGTCATCTATAGTTGTCATTAATATTAGCTGGAATATTCATCTTTTCGTTGGCATTCTTTCACTGTGTTTTCCAACCTGTAACTGCTAGCATAGTGCTATTGTATTGATTCTAATCATCACTTACCAACACCTGACAGAACTCTTATAATTTAAAAAGTTTTTAAATGACTCAAATTAACTCAGTTAACAAGTTTCACAATGGATAGAAAGGTAAGGGGGAAAGGCCATATTCCTATTAATTAGCTCTGTCAGTTCTAATTTATTAGACTAACATTTTTAAAAGAAAAATAAAGGAAATGCTCCTATGGATACAAAAAATCACAGGGGGTGGTTTTGTTCATGTATTTCAAAAAGTACATTTAGGAATATAAAATTTTGTTTTGCATTTCAAATACACCTCTTTAGGGAAGCAGTGAGGTCAGTTTAGAAAAGATGCTTGCAGTTTTCAGTTATAAAGCTATTAGCACTCTCCCAACAAAACCAATAAAACAAAATCAGTGAGAGTACTTGTATTCATATAGCTACAATCAGGAGAACCACAAATTCTTGAGGACTAACTATTAGAACAGGAAGAGCTTTCTTTAATTAAATGGGTCATCTCTCACAATGTGAACCCTCTCCCGCCACTAAGCACAGTACCAGAACTAAGTAATTTCAAAAGACATCAAAACTTCTATTCAAGTAATAGGTTTCCCAATAACTAATTCCAATTTCATCTGAAGATTATTAAGGACCCTGTTTTAGTAATAAAATGGTAGCGTTTCAAAATGTTAAAGCAATTTTAGATTTTACTTGTATGGTAGCTATGATTTTATGTGCCCCATTAAAAATCTAGTCCAATGTCTCCATTTAATGGCTTAATATTTTAAAGACTCTTCTCCGTATTACAAAAATACATCAGTTATATATTCCCTTATTTTCCCCAAGCAAACAGATATATAGTCCTTCAAACCAAAATGCTAAAAAGTTATCATTCTAAAATAAAACTGCTTACCATGATACCACCATTTTGTTTTCTTTGGATTCTTGTTACATGTTCGAACATAAAAAGAATTATCTGGTGGTCGTCTCTGAAACCAAAAAGAGAGGTTGTAAAATGGAAGATTTAAGAAGATAGTTTTAATAAAAGCTTTAGAAGAATTATTACAAAGAGTCTAAAAACAATATAAATGCCCATGTGGCACAACTGAAATAATATATTGCAGGAAAAGTAGACCCTTGACACGGGAATTAAAAATACATACATACATACATAAAACTAGGGATTTGCATGTGTGATTTGGATTAGGTTCCAGTGGGATTACCAGAGAATGACTATTAACCCAAAGTGGCAGCATTAGGTTTTAAGGAATTTTGGTTTCATTTATTTTATCTCCCTAGAAATAATTTGTAATTACTTTTGTGAACTAACTAAAAAAAACAGAAAGTCTATCTAACTAGGTTTGTCTGAGAAACTAACAGCAACTTATAAAACTCCACAATTACTGTTTTCCTGTAAGGTAAGTATCACCAAAGACAGACCGAAGGATTCAGTTTCCAAACAATATATAAGAGGAAAAAGGGAGAAAAGCTATATTGGCATTTCTACCATATATATGCCCAGACTAGCACAATATTAGAAACATATGGCAGCTCTGCAAGGGAGCTTCAGCGGAAATAGTGATGCCAACAAAACTGAAGACAGATTTTGGAAGGCAACTTCCCTGAAAACTGTTGGATATTGACCAGACACAAGAAGTAAGTGACTCTCTACAAAAATCTGGAAACATGTCAAATTTGTATTAAAGCTACTGAGTGCAGGTTAGTAGATAAGTTAGTAGATAGGTCCAACCAAAAAGCAATGAGTAGTAGGACTGCCTAGACAGCAGGTAGGGAAAACAGGCAGTCCACTTGGCACTTCTACAACTCATGTACATAACTCTGATCTTAGTTGAGCCTAATAATGCCCTTACAAGTTAATATTAATAGTAACTTAACAAAAGGGAAGAGTATAGCGTAAGATTTGTTAAACCACTACCCCAAGATTACCCTGCTGATAAAGTCTGAGAAAATATCTGAAAAATTAGCATCATGAAATTAGATGCCTGACAACTTCAAATAGATAATCTGTTGCTGTTTGTCCTGCAAAGTCATAATCTGTGTTCATGTGGAATAAATTGCTACCACTACAACAAATAATTTCATAAATTCATTTTCTCTGTATATTGATTAGAACCCAATCTTAAAAAAAAAAAAAAAACCCAACCAATCTTCAAAAAAGAAGAAAAACACACTCATTCTATTTGCTGAAGAATCTAACCAAACTGACTAAGTGATCATGGAGATTTGGTTCTTAGAAAATAAAGTAACTATACAAAAAGATGGATTACCAAAATTGTTTTAGGAATTGAATACAAGCTAGAAAGTTTGGACTATCTATATTATAAGGGCACTAAGAATAAATGGTAGATTACTGAAAGACCTCTCAATATCAGAAATTATCTTTAATCTACTGACATGATAGATTTAAAGGCCTTCAATTCAGGGAACCATCCTTGACCATGAAAAAGAAAATTGGAATGAAAGAATTATGACTAAATCAAAGTTCCCAAATGTATAGTAAAAATTAAAATTTGTATTCAAGTCAAATATTAAAGTGAAACTCATAGAACCACATTGACCAGAGAATAAAATCCACCTGTTTTAAAAGAAGAGTTTTTGGTGAGTAGTTAGAAGACTCTTAAAAGCTTATTTGGAGCTAGATCCCCTCAGTGCCAAAGCAAGTTTCCTCTTCATCTCTGTAACCTAGTACTTAGCACAGTAAAAACAGTATCTACTAGGTTCCTAATAAACTTTTACTGAATTTTGATCGCATTTCACAGAACTAATGCTGCCAGAATTACTTCCAAATTATTATCTTGGTTAAATATAATTTAGTTCATATTATGTAATATAGCTTACCAATAATTTAAATGGAATAATTAGGCATATACTAACTATGAAGGAAAAACTAGCAGTAGACAACAGAAATGTGAGGGGGATAGAGAGGATCAGAAAAGGATAAAGGAGATGGAGAATATAATCATTTTCTAGTTTTTAACATTAAATCATTACATTTATTTATTGTAAATCATTACATTAAATGTAAACAAAGTGCTAATCATTACAAGGCACATGCAAGAGCTATGTGCACACATCACTGGTGTTTATCTCAACTTTTCTTATTAAAATCCTATACTTACTACTTCACCTTTCTAAAGACATTAAACATTAATGAGGGCACAGAAGTCCTTGTAACCGCAAACTACTCTACTCTAGACCTAAAAATTTAAAATTTATGTGTGTGCTGAGGGTGGAAGTGTGGGGGTAGAGAAAATATGGAAGCAATAAATGAGTAAGACTTGTTTCCAAAGCCCTTGGGGTTAACAAAAGCTCAAGTGTAGCCTTAAAATGCAACTAGAAAAGCCCACAGGCAAAGAGGAAACTTAAAAAGTCATACTACAATTAGATCATGTGTACCCTATTTCATCTATTCGAAGATGTACGTTTTTCTGCACATTTTAATATTCCTGAATGGGGATACATGCCTTCTAAATAATGGTGTCATCGTTTAACTGACACAAGTTTTTTCTTTCTTATATGGTATATAAAATTGCATATTAATGCTCTTAATGCCATAATTAAAAAAATACAATTTAAACCATTACTTCCCATGCTTTTTGTAACAAAAAAACCTGTTTTTTTAAACCTAACACCAAGAAACCTCTTATGAAACTAACATTTCAAGAAACTCACTTTGCAAACAGTGGCTTAGAGTGTTTCAGAGTCTAGATAACCTATCATTTAAATATGAACTACTTAAAGTTCCTAAATACTAATTTAAAGTTCTCTAAATACTAATATAGTAAAAATGATAGTTCAATTTCGAGAAAACAGGGGGGAAAAACTGCTATAATAACCCCACAGATCCCTAATCTGTAAGGTAAGGTTGTTTCTCCTTTAGACCCAATACAAAAGGAAACCCTCATGAAGAGAAGAGGCTTTAAAATATAGAAATACATGAACACTGTGCTACACACTGCCCCTCAGGCAGAAATGACAAGAGGGCCAGAAATGCACACAGGATTTAGATACTTTAAGAGGGTAGCCTAAATTTAACTCATGTGACTTTTCTTTCTGGTATTTTCACCTTTCCATCAGACATAGAATCTGTGGATTAAAAAGGAGAATTACAGTAAAAGTCCTGAAAATTCTACTGGTAATCTAACCTTCCTCTTTCAACCTAATCATGATGATCAGTATGATAGGAAAGCTCTGGTTCCTGGGAAACTCCCTAAAAGAGGCTGATAGGGTGGGAGCCAGCAGAGGGGAGAAGGGAACTATGAAACTTGCTCTTGGGACTTTCCACTGTGAAATCTAGAAATGAGAATTTCTTATACACTTTTGCCTTGTGCATGGTTACAGAAATAAAATTCAGATTATTTAAGAACATCTGCAGAAATTTTCTGTTTAAGAAATATAAAACAGTGTCTGACTTCTATGTTGAATGAAGGATTATCAAAATAATTTTCTAATCTATTACTAAACATACTATCTATAACTTCTTAATAAAAGGCATTAAATCCTTCCTTCACATAAATTATGTATTATAATAGTTTTTCTACCTAAACTAAAAAAAGAGATATTACCTGGAATAATTCTGAGAAGTCCTACCTTTTCTTTGCAGCTGGAAAGCATGCTAATAATGCTAAGACAAACTGACTGGACTGAGAGCGCTGGGGACCAGTCTTCTGTTAGAATGGATAAACAGATATGACCATTGCTATAAACATGAGGATGAACGGGAATATTTTCACCAGTAAACATGACCTAAGAAAGAATAAAATTCCATTAACACTCAAATATTCTGTATTACCAAGAAATAAAATATTCTCCACAGAACTTATTATTTTAAAAATGAATTAAAAACAAAATAAGTGCCAGAAACAAGATAAACAACTGCTTGTTGTTTATTCTTATCAATCCACAAAGTACTGGTTTCACTGTGTGAATGAGCATGTAGGAAACGGTACATACAGGGGAAAAATCCAGGTCATCTGTTTTTTATTTCAGCTATTTTTCACAAATTCCCTTTAAAAATTTATAAATTACCATGCATTTTTGGCCCAGTAAAGAAAACTATATCAAGAATGCTTTTTCAAATTCTACTCATTGCTCTCTGCATATACAAATACAAAAGTATTCAATTTTGAGACAACATGAATTACAGGCGACAGGAACACCCCCTTCCACCTGTAACAATGCTACCACCTAAGGTGCTACGTGCAAAAGGAAGTAACTGTTATATATACCATCTCCTCTAAACTGGCTCGTCCATTATCATGGGTACAAATAACTACTTACTGATCAGCAAGTAATTATGTGCTTATACACAAAAAAACAAATGAGTTGAATGAGTCAAGTTTTTCTCTGCCTTTTCTTCTACTCAATTCTTCTAACAGTTTTTCCTTTCTCCACCTTGCCTCAGCACTGTTTTGAAAGATAATAAAACTATTATTCCTTCCTTTGCCCTAATAATTCATTAAATATCCCAACAGTAGTGTTTCTTAAACATATCTACCCTAAGCATCTGAACAGGCAGAAGAGTGAATTCACACATCCCAAACCATCTGTAAGCACAGCCCAAAGTAGGGCAAAGGACAAAGACATAGAAGTCTAATATTTAAGGATGTTTATATTTTACTTCATAAAAAATTACTTATTTTGATATAAAAATTAATCCACCAATCTTTATGTGAATTTTATACTGCAGTAAGATCTAACATTTTTACTCTGTTGTTTAGTAGTAATTACTAATTCCTAACCTTAAAAAACATCACCTGAAGATCTGGCTAAAATATAAATGCAAGGGGCGCCTGGGTGGCTCAGTCGTTAAGCGTCTGCTTATTAGTCCTCTAATATTTCAAATATACTACTAACATATGGAACTTGTTTCCTTGGCTGAAGCTAATACAAGAAGACAAAAGGAACTTTTTTCCTCAAAGGAATGACTTTACACACTTGCATATTTTTTGTTTCTTTAAATTTTGGTCATGCACCCTCCAGTCCCACTAGAAAGAGCTAAAATAAAGCTTAAAACTAAAATAAGTCTCAAAATAAGGGATATCACGTTATGTGCCCTTCCTGATTGCAGAACCCAATCCCCTACTTTAGCACAGAAGCCTATCATTTATCTCAATTTTATCTATCAGTGCTCGTATCCTTTTCATCACTTTTTGCTAAAAAAGGGCTGCTCTGCAAAAGGAACTGACTGCTTAAATGGTCTCGCAGCTCTGTACTTTTGAGTCTATCCACAATTATTGTAAATTTTATTTTTTATAAACATGTAGTTTATTCTATACATTTGATATTCCCACAATGTGTTATAGATGTCTAGAGTGGGAGTTTACAAATCTCGCAGAACATGCATCTGCTTTGGGGTATTCACTCTGCCACAAAATCCCATTTGACCAGTAGGATATTTTCCTTAAGAATACAAACAATGCCCAAGACCTTATCCCCTGGCCACAAATATTTTTTAAAGGATATTTCTTTTCCAGTAAGGTCTCCTTTTTAAAAAGTCACACAGAATAGTGCTCTGAAAGTGCCAAAAAAGGAAGAACTGCCAAGTTACCTTCTTTGGCAAAAATTAATCAATGCATCAGCAACCATCAAGGAAAATACACAGACAGCAAAATACAAAGGTTATCACAACATGCTCTGACTAGCCAATTCACAAAGCAGAAGGAAAGCAATAGTGCTCTTGAGAGAACGGATTATGAACTAAATCACTTGGCCTGAGAGCCAAGAAGTCACCACGAAGCAAAAGGAAACCAGACGAGAGGAAAAGGGATGGAAAGCAGAAGAGGCCACCTCCAGCAGGAGCAGCAGACACTGATAAGCACCGAAGAGAGCCAGAAATCGAGACAGAAACAGCTTTGAAGGCTGAGGGGACTGAAATAAAAAGAAATCAGATCTCTGTAAATCTTAAAGAAAGCAAAGCAAAGCAAAAAAAAAAAAAAAAAAGCTGGGGCTTTTAAACATGCTGCATGCAGGGCAAATACAGCCAGCCTGAAACTTTCAGCAACCAAACAGAGGGCCCAATTAGCTGCACATATTATAGGTAACCCCTAGGGCCTAACCTGCCAGATACAGAATTTTAGAAGTTTGTCTAAACATGGAAAGGCTGAGTTTACATGCCAGAGATGAATTCCTGAAATAAAAGAAAAAACTTTTTTCAACAATTTATTCATGTAAAAAGGCTGGTAAGCAGTTTCCACAGACAGTTTTGATGTAAACTCTGCAATTCTGGTTCTTTGCATGTGATGGGGAAAGTAACCAAGGCTGAACTTCTTCAAGATCATGCTCTTAACCATCCTCATTTATTTAACACATGGTACAATCCAAAGGAGGAAATGGACATTTCAGTTATTTTAATGCAGCCAAGCAGGGTCTGAAAGCTTAAGAGATGATTACCTGTTTTCAGAATTAAAAAACTTTTTTGGGGGAATCCCAAGTAGCCGATAAAACTCAGATTTAACAAGACAACTGAATATGATGAATTTGAAACCAAAGGGAATAAATAAGAACTTTGCTAATTTCTTTATTTTAAAATATTTATTTTTAAAGTAATTTATTCAAATTCAAACTTAGTCATATAAACAGTTAACCAGAGAACTGCATATTCATAAACCAAACAATAAAATGGAACTACAGATTTTAAAGAATAAACTGTTTTACGAAAAAAAGCCACAATTTTAAAAAAGGATCTTAGATCTAATGCATGTGAATCACACCTGAAGTTCAGAGTCTGCATTAGAAGCAGTACTCAGATGGATCTAAATTTCCAAACATCTCCCTATCAGTATGGCATATTTTATTTTATTTTATTTATTTTATTTTATTTTTTAAGATTTTATTTATTTGAGAGAGAGAATGAGAGACAAGAGAGCATGAGAGGGGGTAGGGTCAGAGGGAGAAGCAGGCTCCCCACTGCGCGGGGAGCCTGATGCGGGACTCGATCCTGGGACTCCAGGATCATGACCTGAGCCGAAGGCAGTCGTTTAACCAACTGAGCCACCCAGGCGCCCCTCAATATGGCATATTTTAAAGAGCAGGTGCGATCTAAGAAAACTAGGCTCAGTATCATAATTTTGGAGTTAAGCAAGCATATCCCACATCCAACCTGAAGTTTTAAGCAAGTCAACCTCTGGGTAACTTTTGGTACCAAATGTAGTGTCTCTCATAAAACTACTAATTTGAGAATGAAAGCCACCAATAATGACAAAATAGAGGATGGAGCTTAGGTAACTGTTTCTAATATGAAATTTATATTTATGAGTACATAAGGATTTCCAATCAAGCTCAATACTGAATGATCCCACAATACTGAGATCTGACCACAAGGAAGGCATGCTACTATGTTCAGACTAATGTTCTGCAACTAATTAGAAAGTGAGACACCTAATATAGCATCAAACTAGGTCAAAATACGTATTACAAGAATAAGCAGTACGAAACAAGCTATAAAATATAAAAGCCAATATATAACATGGATACCAAGATTTCTTCAGGGACAATATAAGGGAATGCTTTCTCTTATTAAAATTATAAGTAGATGACAATGCTTAATGGGCAACTACAGAAACTGAACATACAAGCAGAATTTGTTGTAATCAGGTATCTAATTATTAATAGTATATGACATAGACAATCTAGCATAAATGGTAAATATTTGACAAAAGTAACTGGGGGCTGGAGTTTTAGCGTAGTTTTTAATTAAATTCTCCCCTTTCACTCACTTAATATGTATTAGTAGCATCAATATTAATAGTTTTTCTGGTCTTCCATAATTACCCTTACCATGCAATTGTACAAGTATTACAAAGTCAAAATTCCTGGATACAATGAAACTAAATTTGGGTTCCCCTGGATGGTAAACCATTCTCTCTCCTTTGTAAGCTGTGTTCTTCTAGCCTATCAGTCTTCTTTATCTTCCCTCTGCTTTACCCCCAAGGCTTCAACGAACAGGGTTCACTGTTCCCTTTCTCCTCGTCAGGTGTCCTAGATGCTAGACAATTTAAGGCAATAAAAATGGTTATTTAAGACTTTGGAAAGCTTAACCACCATCACATGAAAGAGCAAGGAAAATGACACAACAAATAAAAGGATGAGAACACTATGAAAATAGGTTCTGGATCTTGGCAATGAAGGAGTGCTGAGCAACAGAACCAAAGGGTCTGGGTTAAGGTGCCATGAATAGGTAGGGGAATAAGAATGAGGAGAAAGCAACTACTCTTTTGCCCCAGTGTTTCTAAAGCTTTATAATCAAGGTAAGTATATTTTCATCACCACTTTTAGCACGGATATGGTTTCACAACTAAGTACAGTATCCTCTTTCCCCTAAAAAAATACTTCCCCACCTATTTCTAAAATGCCTGAAATTTCTTCAACAAAAATTAGAGTTGAAAAGCTTAAAAACAAAGTATAACCAGGATATTTACAAGATAATGTGTTTTAATTTTACTGCATTCAAATGGGATGTTTTGACAGAGGAAGGGGTTAAGTTTAAGGTCAAAGATATCTGGAAGGGAAGAGCTGCTAATGTGAGGGAGGAAGGAGAAAGGAAAAGAAGCAAAAATGGTAAAGACACTAAACTTGAAGACTTCACAGTTTGGAAGGAGAGGTGACTATTACCTCCCAATTCCTTTGAGATAAATCTCCAAATCCTTTATATTGCAAGACTCTTCTTGGATAAGCCCCAAAACATCCTTCCTTTTTCATCTCCTGCTATAGCCCTCCATTTATCGATACATAAAACTACATTTGCTCATAAATCTCAGAAAAAACCATGTCTTTTCATGATTTGCTCCACTTGTGACATAAACTCTTCTTCTGCTCTAAGTCCCAGTACAAACAGGTTTCTCTTTGCCCCCTCATTCTATTCTAAACCAGTCATTGCTTTTTCTTTTGCTCCCAAAGCATACAATTCATACTTCAACTTATGGTGCATCCAGTTGCACAGGCCAAAAGTTGTGGAGTCTTCCCTGACTCCTTTCTCTCGTTCATATTTATCAATTCATTAGCAAATCCTGTTGGCTCAACCTTTAAAATAGGTCCAGGGGCACCTGGATGGCTCAGCTGGTTAAGCGACCAACTCTTGCTTTTGACTCAAGTCATGATCTCAGGGTCCTGGGATCCCTGCTCAGTGGGGAGTCTGCTTGAGGACTTGCTCTCTCTGCCCCTTACACCCACTTGAGCTCTCTTTCTCTCTCAAATGACTATATCTTTAAAAAAATAATAATAAAATAAAATAAGTCCAAAATATGGCCATCTTCCACAACCTCCACTACTAGCTTTCACCTCTCACCTGGATTACTACAGGAGTTGTCTGGTCTCCCTGTACCCTTGTACACCCAACAGTCAATGTGCTACACAACAGCCAAATTTTTCCTTTTAATTTTAGTAGGATTATGTCATTCCTTTGCTCAAACTATTCAAAGGTTTTTCATCTCATTCTGAGTAAAAACCAAAACTCTTACAATGGGCTATACAATCCATGACAGATCCTCCAGCCCAAATTACTTCTCAGACCTATGCCCTTGGCTTCCCCTCATTTGTATACCACTCTAGGGACCTGCCACATGTGCTCCAGGTTCACAGCCTTTGCATTTTTTCTTCACCCGCTCTTTCCATACTTCATATGGCTTACTCACTCACCTCTTTCAGGTATCTGCTCCAAGGTCACCTTCTCAGTGAAATCTTCCCTGATTGCTCTATCCAATGTTGCAACATCCTCAATCTCCCTTTCTACTTTTTCCACCATCTTCCATACTGTATGTTTTTGCTTACTGTTTATTGTCTCTTTCTACAAGAATGCAAACTCCACCTAAGGAGGTTTTTTATTTGGTCTTCTTCACTATTACTGCCAACACCTAGTACAGGGTCTGTTCTATGACACATACTAGATAAATACTTACAGAATGAATGCATCCACATCTGCCTATCCAAATACTAAACCAATTATTAAAGGCAGGCCCAACACCTTTTAATTTCTGTACTCTTTTGTTTCTAAAGTACAGAGCACAATATTTGGCACATAATTCAGGTCTACTACACATTAAATCAGCCAATCATTTACCTGTATCCTTTCACAGGAAAACAGAATATAATACAGAAAGATATTTTATTTTCTGTATGGCTGATGGTAAGTGCACATTAGTAGAAAACAGTGATGGAAAAGTGCCTCATCTCTGCTCCCAATATTAAAAGGTTTTGCTGTCATTATTGTCCTTTCTTTTAAAGCAAATGCCTGGGCCAAACACCTTCTTTTAGATAGGCAGCTTTTTCACTGTAAAGTGAGATACATGAGAAATTAATTATAATTAGAGTAGGGAAAAGAAAACCCAGCAAACTATAAAGTTTATTATGGTCTTACAGATCTAACTTACTGATACAGAAGTAGTAAGTTCACAATGAGACTAGTTTATTTTAGGGTTATTTCCCCAAATTCTACTCTTGTAAGTAGTGATAAACTTAATACTGCTTATTGCATAGGGAAATCAAAGACTAATTTTCTAATAAGTGTAAATGCTGTTGGGTCTCATCAAATAAAATCTTTGGTGAATGAGGAATTTTACTGCCCTTGAGTGGTTCTAATCACTTCCCCAGAGCAATGGACCTCTGGAAAGTTCCAGTTATTGGAAAAATCCAAAATCTGTATGCACATCAAGCAACTGATTGCTAAACCATTATCATTATTTTATAATCAAATAGATGCTGTGATTAATAAAAATTTAAAAATAATTATAAAGTATTAGTAGACTTAGAGCACCTCTGTTATTTTCTCAATCATGGATACTAGAATATACAACTGTGACATGAGAATGATGTTAAAAAGTGATACAAAATCTCTTCCAAAAGACTGCCCCAGAGCTTTCAAAGTTATCATTCTACGTATTATCTTTCACTTTTAGAGAGAACAATACTGGCTGGATAAATAAGCATCTTCCCCATTCTGGTACTCACACCTAATTGACAGTATGGAAAGGTGTAACTTGAGTTTGAGTCTGTGGACTATCCTATTAGCTAACTTTTAAACCACGAACAAGACACTTTACTTCTAAAGCTTCAATTTCTTCACTTATGAGGATGAATCCATCTTCCCTAACCACTTCATTAGAGCTGTTACAAGACAAAATCAGAATGGAAGTTACATCAGAAAGTATGATACAAATATTACTACACAGCAGAAGGCATGGAGGTAATATGTGGCTGAAATGGTTAAGTTTGGACTTACATGAGAAGCTAAAGAGTTTTTAGACGTGACTCTGCAGAAAATAAGGAAGCATTAGAGGTTTTAGGGAGGTAGTGATAGTTGTGGTAGTGGTGGTGGTGGCACTGTGTATCTGTGCAAATCAATGAGGTAACTGCACCTTCAAAGAAATCTAATAGCACTGTGAATGGATGGCTAGGAGTGGAAAGAACTAGAGGCTATTATGTATTAGTCCACATGAAAGATAGAAACTTGGACTACAGCACTGACAGTAGGATAAGAGTGGACTGACTTAAGCACTGCAAAAGGACGTGAAAAGCTGCATTTAACAGTGAGGGAAAGGGAAGAATTTCAATGCAAGCAGATAGGTGGATAATAACCCAAGAAAAAAATTTTTTTTCCTTATTTTGTTACTGGAAAAGATGGGAGTTCATTTGAGACATCTGGAGGTATTCAAGTAGCGATATCCAACAAGGGTGTGAAATTAAACCTCAGAAAGAAGAGGTTGTATACAGAACTGTAGGTCTGGGAGTTAGCTGCTTAAGATGATTGAAGATGTTAGAGCAAAGAGTGAGAATGAGGGGGTGCTGAATAAAGAACCCTGAGAACACCAAAATCAGAAGAATCAGAAGAGCGGGAAGAAGTCAAAACAGGGAAGGAGAAAAAAAGAATTTGAGATATGACAGAATCCATTACAAACGCTCTTACAGAAATATTCAAGATAAAATTCAAATGTTGCTTCAGAGTTTGACATTTGATTTAGATTTAAATACTAAGGAGAGAATTTAGAGGACACTTTGACTTGGTTCATGTTTATAGAGATACTATTTTCCTCTGATGAAAAATCTGTGGGCTCCTGGAGTAAGCCTTCTCCAATATCCTCCTAATCAACAGTTTAGAGTTGGTGAGTCACATTCTTTCTTCATATACCTTCAACAAACTTATTTAAAGTGAAGAACAGGTTGAAGGTGACAAGGAGATACCACTGCCTTCAAGGATTAACAATCTAAAATGATGCTGATAAGTCAAAAGGCTATAAAACATGAAGATCATTTTCTAGAGAGAAGGAAGATGCTTGCTTTGGTTTATCATAGTCTACACATGCTTACAGAGGTCTAGAGGTCATGACAATACATAACCCTTAGCTTTATTTTTATGAAAATGATAAAAATGAGTTTCTTAATCTTATTTTCTGCTCACACAAAAACTGCAGAACTCAAGGAGTCCATTTCCATTTAATTCTGTGCCTTTATTAAAAACAAAGATTTCTTGTACTTATAGCACAATACAGTAACTGACTTCCATCTATACTCCTACACTGTTTGGTATATTCTATTTAAAGTGGCAATGGAATATGATTTTCCTCAAAAATAACATATTTCAGCACTTCAAAGTTTTAGGTATTTGAGATGCAGAGCCTCATTATCTAGCAGTACTACACAGAGCTGGCATTAAGTCTTATCATTTTGCCACTAGTGACTCATTTACCCATCTCACCAAGTCAGAAATCTGGAAGTCATCCTAGAGTCTCCTTTCCTCTAACTTCCAAAAATTAATCATTCACCACAGTTAAACAGCTCTCAGTTAAGAGCTCTCAAAAAAGTTCCTCTACCACCATTATCCCTTGTCTGAGTATTAACCCATTACATAACTGTGCCTCAGATTACAATGATAAGACTTGGAGCTTATGTTTAGATATTTAACATCTCGTAGTATATTCTATCTTTATAGTACTAAAAGACTGCAAGGATAGCATGTCAATGCAAAATCAAAGAAGTGTTCCTTTCAACAAAGCACTTGCCCCCTTACAATATCATTCTATCATCTTATCTAGGAATAAGTGCCTCCAGTTATTCCAAAATGCTAAGTTCTCCCACAACCCATGGGCCTGGGTTAGATTTCCATCCCCTTTTCTGCTAACATCTATTCATAAAAAATAATATTAAGTTCTTAAAGTACAAGAGCAGCAAAGCTCTAATCTCAATAAAGTAAAATGTTCATAAGATCTTGATTATATTCAGATAAGATAAAGGAACAAATCTATTCACATAATTACAATGGATTTCTTTATAAATTTGTATTTAGTCAAAAGTCACTAATTTAGTATTTTGCTATAATCTAAAAATACAATAAAATCTTAAAAAACAAGGCAGTTACCTGAGGAGAGTCAAAAGGATATCGACTACTAAACTTAAATAGAAGCTGAAATTTTTCCCCTTCATATAAGGTACCTGGTGCACCTTCCATGTCTACAATCCACCTAGAATAGGAAAAAAAAAAAAAAATTAAAAAACTTCATATAAGAAGAATTGGGATGAGAAAGAAAAGGGGACACTGAAGACTTTCTGTATACCAGGCATTGGGATAAGAGTCATTCCTGTGCAACAGGGTACTTCATTCTCCCAACAATTTTAAGAGTAGGTATTAACACCCTTCTCTGATGCTCAAAGGTTAAGTAACTAGATCAAAGTCAGACAACTGGCAAATGACAGAGCCAAATTTTAATCCAGGTCTGAAAACACAAAATGAAAATCCAACTCAAGTGTGCTGGCATGTGCTGGCACCAAAGCCTGTACTCTCACTACTCAATTTATGCTGCCTTATTTTTCTAAAATACTATTTTCACAATGACTGAAAAGATTTTATAGGTAACATCAAACTAATGAACTGCCTTTCTGATACCATTTTAGAAGCTATGGTCAAAGTACGTATCAACGACGACTAGAGAATTGTGGCTGTTAGACCCATCTTCTCATCAGTATTCTAGAGACTAAACAGGAAAAAGAAGCTAAGCTAACATCAGTCCACTTACTCTGATGGCTATTCAAGGCTCTATACTGCCTTTCCTTTGTCTCTCACGTTTCAGTTGTTTAATAAAACTCAGAAGAGATTTCTATGGCCTCTTTATAAGCTTACTTGGTTTCCACATAAAATAATCATGACTATAAATCTGTTTATAATCTGTACATTTATCTCTTGCTCACTTATTTATTAGTAAGCTCTACGCCCAACACAGGGCTTGAACTCACAATACCGAGATCAAGAGTCACATGCTCTACTGACTGAGCCAGCCAGGCACCCGTATCTCTTGCTCTTTTTAAAAAAAGGGAGGAGGGGGGAATATGTTTCTTCCTCTGTCCCTCCCCCTGCTCATGCTCTATCAAATATTAAATAATCTTAAAAATAAATTTAATTAATTAATTAATTTTAAAAAGGGGAAACTGGGGCGCCTGGGTAGCTCAGTCAGTTAAGCATCCAACTCTATTTCAGCTCAGGCCTGCATCTTAAGCCCTGCTTAAGATTCTCTCTCCCTCTCCCCCTGCCACTCATGCACTCGTTTTCTCTCTTAAAAAATAAAATGAATTTTAAAAAATAAATAAAAATTTAAAAAGGGGAGTAGAATAAGGATTATGGTGGCAAAAATGATGGGGCCACACTGAGAAGTAAAAGTGGACCAATCATAAGAATCCTAATTAAAGCGCTGGCCAATTCCTTTCATCTTAAACTTTTTAGGTATAAAAATTTATTTAAGTACAGGAAAACAAAAGGAAATAATATTGAGAATACGGAGTTGAGGTTCTAGTCATCACCCCACATACTATGGACTTAGAGGAGTACATAAACTAATAAATGTGCCTAGTCTCTGAAAGCAATCAGCTAACACATACAGGCCTTTAAGAGCATAGCTATTCATTTTCAGAATGCATGATGAATACCATACATGGTAATAAAAGATATGACCACAGAGCCAAGAGGCAATATTTTACAGTAAAATTACACAGGTCTGTCCCTTAGCTGTGTGGCCATGAGTAAGCTGTTTTATAATTGAAATAGTCAAAAAAGAGGTAAAACATATATTTAAAACAAAGTTAAAAGTTCATTAAAAAAGGATACTCATCTCAGTGTTGCAAAGGTAAATGGTATTACGTATGCAAAACATGTAGTACTTTCCTGACATCAGCACCAGTACATAGTAAATTAAATATAATGCATAAGCTGCATTTAAAAAAATAAATAAAAACAAAAACCTATTCTCTTTACAAACTGGGTCCTTCCTAGTCATCAAAATCCCTTTTTATCCCTAACATCCACTATGCAAAGTGATTATTCCAAGGAAAATCAGAGGACTTCCTGGTGCCCTTTAAGATTTGATTTGATTTGATTAATTGATTTGAGAGTGCGAGAGCATGTGCTAGTGGGAGCAGGGGAAAGACCAGAGGCGAAGGGAGAGGGAGGGTCTGAAGCAGGTTCTGGGCTCAGCCCCAACTCGGGGCTCAATCTCAGGACCCTGAGATCATGACTTGAGCCAAATACCAAGAGTCCAGTTTAACCAACTGAGCCACCCAGGCACCCCTCCTGGTGCCCTTTCATTCTCTTTATAAGGAAAATTTAAGGACAGGGATGCCTGGGTGGCTCAGTCAGTTAAGCATCTGCCTTCAGCTCAGATCATGATCTCAGGGTCCTAGGATCGAGCCCTACACTGGGCTCCCTGCTCCTAGGGAAGCCTGCTTCTCCCTCTCCCACTCCCCCTGCTTGTGTTCCCTCTCTCACTGTGTCTCTATCAAATAAATAAATAAAAACCTAAAAAATATATATAAATAAATAAATAAAATAAAAATTTTATGACATAATGTACCATAAATTTACATGTGATCTATCCAAACACAGCTTTTAAATAATAGTTAAGCAAGTATCTTAGTAATCCTTCCAACACCTGGGTGAGACAGGTCAAAGGCAGCATAATTTTCAAAACTGCAGGATAATTTTAAATACCTTTTGGTAATTGAAAAAAACAATATATGTTCACTACAGAAAATTTAGAACAGTAAAATAAACAAAAATCACCACAATATAATCACTGTTGAAGTACTTTGGGTACATTTCATTCTAGTCATTTTGTAGCTTCTTTATCAATGGAACTGATGTCCAACAGTTAAATTATGTGTACACTTAAATTACATAAATTCAAATTATCAGTGTTTATGGGACGCCTGGGTGGCTCAGTTGGTTAAGGGTCCTACTCTTGATTTCAGCTCATGTCATGATCTCAGAGTCATAAGATCAGGTCCCATGTCGGGCTCCCTGCTGGGCATGGAGTCTGCTTAAGACTCTCTCCCTCCCTCTGCCCACCCTCACCACCCCCGCTCACTTGCTCTAAAAAAATAATAAATTAATTAAAAATAACAAAACAAACAAAAAACAAATCCTCAGTGTTTATGAGTCCAATTAAGGGCACATGTCCCTGAGGATGAATGAAATGGGAGAAGTCTCAGTTCTTAACTTCTAGTAAGTAGCTATTGTTCTAGGATTCTAATGTTTAAACAGTTATTTTTCATGCATTCATAGTTCCTAATCAAAGAAACAGCCAACTATTCCCCTCCAAAGGAAAAACTAGCTCTCTTGGATATATTATGATATGTTATGGCAGGATACACACCAATATAGCCTCTCTAAAGGATTTTCAAAGGGATTATGTCTATACAAAATTTCTGCATTTCATGCTGACTACAGGCTATAACTCAGGGGATACCATTCCACGGTCTAACTTTGAGAAACCATTTCCGTGTTACTGATATTCATATACATATATATTTTTAAAGATTTTATTTATTTGACAGAGAGAGACATAGCAAGAGAGGGAACACAAGCAAGGGGAGTGGGAGAGGGAGAAGCAGGCTTCCAGTGGAGCAGGGAGCGTGATGCGGGGCTTAATCCCAGGACCCTGGGATCATGACCTGAACCAAAGGCAGATGCTTAACAACTGAGCCACCCAGGCACCCCTACCGATATTTAAATTGTTTCCAAACTGTCTCTAGAAATAGTACTGTTGAAATGAGTATAGTTAGTTCTAAGTTAATCTTTTTTTTTTTTTTTTTTAAGGTAAACTCTATGTCCACCAACATGGGGCTTAAACTCACAACCCCAAGATCAAGAGTTGTATGTTCTACTGAATAAGCCAACCAGGCACCCTTGGGTTAATCTTTCTCTGTCTCTGTTCCCTCCTTAGGTCAGCACAGGGGTTTATTTATTAGTTCAAAGGATATGATACTCTTATTTTTAAAGGTCTTAATACATGCTACCAAACTGTCCTCCAGAAAGCTTAATGTTTTTTTTATTATCATTCTCATCCCACTTAAACATTATCTTTTAAGATCTAATTTTTATAAAACTAGTTTTATATCCTGGAAGACAAAGATAATAAAATGTTTGTGATTCATTTACAATAAATTATTTTAAAAGAAAAATTGCCTGACATACATCTCTAAAAATGACAGGTTTATTCTGCAACAAAGATAATGCTGTTTTGGTAGTTAAACAATTTGTGCTATAACTGCTTGAAAATCTATACAAATGTTTCCATTTGTACAAATGTAAAACACTCCTTTAACTTTTTTTTTTTTTTAAAGATTTTATTTATTTATTTGACAGAGAGAGACACAGCGAGAGAGGGAACACAAGCAGGGGGAGTGGGAGAGGGAGAAGCAGGCTTCCCGCGGAGCAGGGAGCCCGATGCGGGGCTCGATCCCAGGACCTGAAATCATGACCTGAGCCGAAGGCAGACACTTAACGACTGAGCCACCCAGGCGCCCCCCTTTAACTTTTTATAAATCATTGTATTATATGGTTCCCCCACCACCAAAAAAAGAAAAGGTTGAAAGAGGAAGCACTTGATTATTACCAATGAAAATGGAATATAATCTACCTGTTTAATTATACAGAAAAAAAAATCTCATTTAATTATATAGAACAAATGTCATACACTCTAAATATGTGCTCCATATTCAAATTTTGTTTGATAGAAATGAAAAATCAATCGAGAGTCACAAAAAGAAAGAGAAGAACCTTAAATGCATATTACTAAGTAAAAAAGGCCAATCTGAAAGGCTACATACTGTATGATTCCAACTATATGACGGTCTGGGGAAGGGACAACCACAGAGACAGTAAAAAGATCAGTGGCTGGGGAGGTGATGAATAGCTGGAGCACAGGGGATTTTTAGGGCAGTGAAAATATCCTGTATACCATAATGATGATACATGTCAGTGAACATTTGCCCAAATCCTTAGAACATACAATACCAAGAATGAATTATAATGCAAACTACAGACTTTGGGGGATTATGATGTGTCAATCATACTTCATTAATTGTAACAAATGTCCCACTCTGGTGGGGGATGTTGATATAATGGGGGAGGCTGTGCATGTGTGAGAGCAGAGGGTATGTGGGAAATTTCAATTTTGCAGGGAACCTAAAAATGCTCGAGAACCCAGCAATGTTTTAAAAAGACTGTTATAGAGCTAGAGATCTGTACTCAATTTTCAAACAACAATATATCCATCCAAACATCAATAGATCCATTCTTCATATCCCCGTTTTAAAAAAGCTGGACTTCCGTGGTAAGTATGGACTCAAATCTCAAAGTCAAAGGTAACTAAAATTGTTTCTCTAAAAGGATAAGTATGTCCATGAATTTTGGTCACTTTTGCTTTCTGGACCTAGAATATCACTAAGTATTTGAATTATCCTCTTTGTCCTACAATTTGGTCTACAGTATACTTTTTATCTTGCTGCCTATCCTATCCCTTTTATGTTTTTGAAGATTTTAAGGAGAGATTCCATTATTTTAAATTCCTGCCCCCTGCCAATTTCAGAGCATTTACCTTTGTCTAACAAAACTATTAAGTTAAAGGAGTAATAAAAATAGACTATACTGGGTTGTGAGATCTTAGGATGATACTCTAGACATCTTTACAAGAGGACACATACATATCTTTCTACTCTTCTTGGGTTCGTATCTGGGAAAAGACTTTTTTGCACCCAAGGAAGGAGCAGAATTAGAACACTTCTGTGTCTTCCCCTCTATGCTTCACTTTTTTATCCTCATGAAGAAGTTTCTTACTATTAAAAGAGGTTGCTGAAGAGTCCGACATTCAGTTACCGTTCTTTACAGGGCAATTAATGTGTTCAGGGATTGGAGACACCTCTTGACTACTACCCTCTTCAAACCTTTACATGCGGTTTTGAAAAATTTGATAAAACAACCACATGCCAAACTGCTCGATTTTAGATGAAGATCATTTCATAAACAAAGTCAGACCAAAGTTTTTATATGCTGCCTCTTTGGCAGGAAACATTTTAAAACATTACTAATCAACATATGGTTTAAAAAAAAAAGGTTAACAAATCATACATTATATACAATGTGTATGATACTATTATGTAACACAAAATGGGGTATATAAATGCATAGAATAAGATCTATTTATTTACCTCTTGATGGAAGAGAGTTGGATGAAATATGAAAATTCCACATTTTATTTTTTGTTTTAAGATTTATTTGAGAGAGAGAGAGAGAGGAGAGGGGCAGAGGGAGAGGGAGAGAGAGAATCTCAAGCAGACTCCCCACTGAGCGCAGAGCCCAATTCGAGGCTTGATCTCATGACCCTTAACCGAAATCAAGAGTAGGATGCTTAATCAACTGAGCTACTCAGGCACCCCAAATTTCTCCATTTTTAAAAATAAGTATATATTCATACTTTACACTAATAATAAAAGAAACAAGTACTTCAAAAATTAAATACCTACTGTGTAATTGAATTCTGAACACTCTTTTCATTTAATGTCATTCCGGGAGGTGGGTCATTTTGCAAAGCCAACAGTTCTTTCTGCAGTCGTTTCTAGAAAAGAATACCAACAATAATTTGTACTTTGAAAAAAATGACAATATAAACATCCTCTAGCTTCACAGACTGAAATCCTTGACTAAATTTCCTCCAAATGCTCACATCTTTTTCCTTTTCAAGTCCTTTACATCTTGTATATATCTTATATGCCTCTCTAGTTTTTAATTGTTTGTCCTATAATTCACAATCAAAACATTTCTAAATATCCTGTTAACACTGATGCTGTAAAGTGGTTATGAAGAGCAGACAGTTACCTACAAAACTTCATTGTTACTCCACTGAGGTTATAAGATCTCAGCCTAGGTTATAGCTGCTTAAAAGTTTTAGCAGTGTTTCCTTTACTACTTTCCAATTATGAAAACCACAGTTCTCCATCATCCTTAAAGAATGTGTCATTTCAGACATACAAGCTTTTCAAAAACACTATACGAGTAATCATACATGCAAAAAGCTTTTGGAAAATGTTCTGAATAACTTTTAATTTACAATTTACAGACCGTATTTGTTTTCATTTTTAAACAGGATATCTATACATAATTTAAACCTTCAATACTAGAATAGAACATACCATGGCCTGAGATATAGTTTTTTCTCTACATATTAGATGCCCCCAAATGGCTATATTTTACATTCTTGTTTATATAGTTTTTATTGCTCAACTCTTCCCATGTTACCACTAGTGGACATTCTTTTTCAGTATACAACAAAGCAAAACAAAAACCACAGAAGCCCATAGCTTATGGGTTTAAAAACCAAATAACCGATGTTATTAGAATTGCATATAACTATTAAAGACTCTTTTTTTAAAAAATTGTTTTTAAAGATTTTATTTATTTGACACAGAGAGAGAGAGAGAGAGAGCAGGAACACGTGCAAGGGGAGCGGGAGAGGGAGAAGCAGGCTCCCCGCCAAGCAGGGAGCCCGATGCGGGGCTCGATCCCAGGACCCTGGGATCATGACCTGAGCTGAAAGCAGACGCTTAACGACTGAGCCACCCAGGTGCCCCACTATAAAGACTCTTAATGAGCATCTTTTCTTGGATTAAAGCAGACAAGCATGTATATCTGTTCAGAACTCAACAATTCTCTGCTTAAAAGCTAGCTTGTGCTTTTTCCGGACAATGAAATAATACTAACAATATAGCAAATGTTTCCACATCTTTTCAGTGTATGATACCTTAAATAAGCTTAACATCACCCAACACCATTACAGATTAGAAAACTCCTCCCTTCTCCATTGAGAATCACTGAACAAGAACTTATTAATAATAGGCACACACTTGGCCCACAAGCAGCTATCTGTAGACCATCACGCCTTTGCTTTGGTCTCTGTGGTCCTTCTGTAGTTACCTCCTACACTTCTCCGGCTGTCACCTCACAAGGAGGACAGACTATGTTGTTGATCACAGCAAACCCAGGGCCTAAAATATGCTAAAAACATTTGCTAATAAATCAGTAAAAGTGGGGAAAAAAAATCTCCTAAATGGCTCTTTAAGTGGCCAAGAATGAAACCTTTCCTCAGATCTTTCAATATCACAATCGCTACTGACAGTGAAATAAAGTATCAGCTACTTGCAATTTCTGACCTCAGCTGTCTTCCAAAATGTAAAATAATTACAAATTGAAAAGTACTTAAGAAAAATTTTAATTATCTAAAATACAGAAATAAAGCTGCCTGAATAACTTGTTTTGAATAAAGGAATATATTTGTGATAAATTTTTGTTATAACAAGGTTTTTACCTTATTCCACTTATAACAAGTGTGGGTTATATGATCAAGTAAATGTTTTTATTAAGTTTATTTTAATTCCAGTATAGTTAACATACACTGTCATATTAGTTTCAGGTATACAATATAGCGATTCAATGATCAAGTAAATTTTTAAAAACACTGGGTACAAAAAGGAGAAACTGATTTCCTCAATGAAGGATTTCTCAGAGACTTCTGATACACTAACTTGCACAAATGATCCTCCAAGGGGAAGAAGGTAACAGAGGTTTCCAAAAGTAATGGAACCTCCTTAGTGTAAGGTATCTTGGAAAAGTCTTGTTTCAATAACCACATTTTGGGTAACAGTGCTGTAGAAATTCTCCAGATCTTGAGAACGTCATTAAAACAGGGAAAGCAAAGCCCTTACTATCAAATCAAGAATGTATAGGAAAGTCAATTTGCAAAGCTACTAACTGAAACATAAGGATAGAAAGGTAAGCTAAGAAGAGTTTTATTGGTATGATTAGCCCTAGGTCTCCTGAACATAATGATAAAGGGTACTATGGAAAAAGAAATGTTTTCCACATCCTGATGCTACTTACATGATCACAAAGAAAGAGACCTGTGATGACCAAACTCCAAGAGAATCTCCAATTAACTCTGCTTCCTTATATTCACATTTTTCCGTAGTTCCTTCCCACACTGTACCAAAATTGGTCAGTGTGACCAACAGAATATAGCAAAAATGATATGTTACTCCCACGATTAGGCTCTAAAAGACTATGGCTTACATTTTGGTTACTCTCTGTGGAATCACTTGCCATGCTGTGAACAGCCCAATTCAAAAGCTCACATGCTAAGATTACTGGCCTCCTGCTGATAACCACATGATTTGGAAGCATATTATCCAACCCTAACCAATCTTTCAGATGACTGCAGCCCAGGCCATTATCTTGCCTACAAACTAAAAAGAGACTCCAAGTCAGAACCATCCAGCTAAGCCTGATTCCAGACCCTTTGGACTGCAAGGGATTATAAATGTTTGTTCTTTCAAATTACTGAATTTGGGGGAATTTGTTATATAGCAATAGATAATGCAGGACCTCTGCTCCAAACTTCCGTGATGAGAAAGGGCTAGCATCCACTTTTCATTTCAGTATCATAGGTCAGAATCCAAAACATTCACAGGACATTTTTTTTTTTTTTACTGAGGGGGTGGAGTCACTACATTAAAAAGACAATTCATGGGGCGCCTGGGTGGCTCAGTTGTTTAAGCCTCTGTCTTTGGCTCAGGTCATGATCCCAGGGGCCTGGGATCAAGCCCTGCATCAGGCTTCCTGCTCAGAGGAAGTCTGCCTCTCCCTATTCATCTGCCTCTCTCCCAGCTCATGTTCTCTCTTGCGCTAATAAATAAATAAAAGCTTAAAAAAAAAAAAAAGACAATTCATGCCAGTTGCTTATTGTCTTATAGCTACTAGGCAGTAAACTACTTTGCAAATCCACATCCTCTCCAATAAAGAGATAAAGCAGGGCCAAAAGTTTGGGGGTTAATGAGTATTTACTAAAGCTCAATAACAAAAGTAATAATTCATCCATGCACTTAAAATCACAACTTGAAAAAAGACACAAAGAATAGAAGATCAAGTGGTGTGTCTATTTGGCAGGTTCACAAAAAACGGCATTTATCCTTCAGGGTGTATTCTTCTCAGAACAATAATTCACTGGAGAAGGCAGGACATGTCTTTTATTTATTTTTAAAAAGACTTTGAGAGAGAGAGAGAGAGAGAGAGAGAGAGAGAGAGAGCGTGTGTGTGTGTGTGCATGGGCGCACGTGCAGGGGAAGAGGCAGAGGAAGAGGAAGAAGCAGACTCCCCACTGAAAACAGAGCAAGATCCCAAGACCCTGAGATCACAACCTGAACCGAAGTCAGATACTTAACTGACTCAGCCACCCAGGTACCCCGACATGTCTTTAAATAAGCAATCAGTCCCCTCAAGGGTCCTCTGGATCTTCTAAGCAATTGGTTCTCATCAGCTATACTCAAAAACAAAATAAAACATGGGGTGCCTGGGTGGCTCAGTCGTTAAGCGTCTGCCTTTGGCTCAGGTCACAATCCCAGGGTCCTGGGATCGAGCCCCGCATCAGGCTCCCTGCTCCACGGGAAGCCTGCTTCTCCCCCTCCCACCCCCCTGCTTGTGTTCCCTCTCTTGCTGTGTCTGTCAAATAAATAAATAAAATAACTTAAAAAAAAAAAAAAAAAGAAAAAAAAAGAAACTGGTTCTAAGTTTCCTGAATCTGGGCATAGAAGCTAAAAGAGAAGGACCTAAAAAACTAGATGTAAAAATAAATAAAAATTCCTACTCAGTTCAGGACGTGAAGAACTAGTGTAACTATTTAGAGATCATACCATGTAGCATCAATCAAAAAAAAGCTATTATCTCATGAGGAGGAATTCAGCTCCTAACTTTGAAGACAAAGTGCAGAAAAAGCAGATGAGAAACACTAGCAAAAGCAATGATACCACCCCCTGTGAATACCAGCATGGCAACATGGTTGGCTTTCCCAGACAGTGCTACAGACTGAGGTAACTGGAGATAATGGGAAATAACTGCAGAAGGTAACTATTGTAACCAAAGAAGCAAAACTACCCAGAAACCACTGGGAGGGGAAGAAGCCAAGAAATTAAGAGTTCCAATGGTTCTTGGCCAAATATCACCCCTGTATGTACCTAAATTGGTGAGGTATGGGAAAACTAATTACATATATTGCAAATGTACCATAATTCTCTGAATCTAAGAAACATCGTCAATCATAAGATGCACCATTATTTCATGGAACACTAGAAAAGGAAAATTGCTGCCAATTAAACAATAACACACCACTGGTAAGACATCGATTCCAGATGTTTAAATATGAAAAAAATGTGCATTTAAAACCTATCAATATTATATTAATAAAAGTTTAATTTCTGAGTAAATTTAATATCTAAAATGATTCTTTTCTCAATTGTTTATTTTTTTGAAGATTTATTTATTTATTTGAGAAAGAGAGAGAGAGAGAGCATGAGAGGGGGGAGGGTCAGAGGGAGAAGCAGACTCCCCGCTGAGCAGGGAGCCCGATGCGGGACTTGATCCCGGAATCCAGGATCATGACCTGGGCTGAAGGCAGACACTTAAAAACTCAGCCACCCAGGCGCCCCTCTTTTCTCAGTATTTAACACCTAACCAAAAATACATGATCTCCGTCAATCTTTAAATATGCCATTTTATTTCCAGAATTTGCAC